TAATTGGATGTTATATTGTGTGGTGCTGCATAAGAGGTCTCAGATCTGACTCCGAACACCCCAACATTCCAGTTTATCATTGCAGTGCTTCACATTTTCTTGAATTGCTTTCTTCTTTTAAAAGACATGCACAGGGCCTCTCCTGGTGGCGCAGGCGGTTGAGCGCCACGCTGTGAAGCTGTCCACAGCCTCTGCAGCGCCAGTTCGATCCCGGCCTGCTGGCGAGGGTCGCACATGGTGCAGCAGACCTCTCCTGTCTCTCCCACTGCTCCCCTCGGCAGTGAATTTCATCAGTGTGCCTGTTCTGCTCCCCACTCTGGCTCTGGTGAATCCTCTCACCCTCCCACGCCTCTGGCCTGTACCCCGGTTCTTGTATAAATAAATAAGTAAATAAATCTTAAAAAAAAAAAAAGACATGCACAATACTAATGAATTGGTGGGATTTTTCCAGAGCAAATAGCATACTATAAAAAAATCACAGAGTTTGGTCTTGAGCAATGGTTTGTCAGTCTCAACCCAGACAGCCTCATGTACACAGAAAGAGGCAAGTGTCACCTCTTCCCAGGTTCCACAAAAGCACCAGGGTTCACACATGATATTTGCACATAATGGCCTCAGTAATGAAGAGAGTGTAGTTTTTCCATCCATCCCTCTGTGAAATCATTGGCTGTACCTTAAAATGTAGTTAGCATGTTCTTGACTAATGTCCTTTAATGGAATCCCTCAGTAAAATATCTTCATAGCAGCGAAATCTGCACATACTTTGTGACTGACATATGTAGAACTGGAATGCCTTTGACAGAGCTGAAGAAACTATGACATCTTCAAATAATCTCATGTCATATAACTCCTATCTTATGTCATCAAATGCTACACAATTAAAAATATAGTGCTTTATAAGTTGTTACCTAAACATTTGGTTTTGATTAAATATTATTGACCTCTGCAGTCTGCATCAGGTCACTATTATATTAAAATATCTGTGTAAGAAGAAAGAGCGGGCCTAATACATATGACTAGTAAACAGCTGTTGAAATAGTTGATGCATATATTCAAAGTAGCAGTGTCATTTCTTTTGGAAAAATGGAATGAAATTGTCATAATTTTTAAAAAGTTATCACACAATGAAATATTATGTAGAGTTCTCAGAGAAATAAAACTTAGAATATTTGCTTACTAGGGACAGTATGTTGATTAGCTGTTACGTCATATGCTATGTCAGAACTTATTAGCCCAGGAGTGCATTGGCAACTGTTAGTAGAAGCTCTCTTTTCCCTTTCCCAGAATTTTCTTCACTAGCCATGACTGAAAATGGGGACCTTCACACAGAGACAAAGACATAGAAGAGAATACACTACCTTAAGAAAAGCATCTGAAAGCAAAAGTCATTTAATTGTGAACAATAATAATGCATTTAAACATTTTGCTTGAGTCCATCAGTTATATTAGCATAGAATTTTTTTTTCATATCAGCATTTAAACACCATGTTCATCATTCTTGCTTAATTCTAAGATTATAGAAAGGTGGTTTTTTGCAAATTCCTCAAAAATTCCCTCTAAGAGTCATTTGATTTCAGAACTCTATTAATTTCTTCCCAGTTACTCCAGGGCATTAATGATATATATAATTTAGGGGTATAGAAGGAGACTTACTTACATTAAATTTTACAAGGTGTAATTCTCTGAAATATCCCCTGTGGCAATCAGAAGAAAGATAATTTCTGAAAAAAAAACTAATTGTATAATCTATCTAATTAGGGTATGTGTTTCAAAGTCTTACCCTTTTAACACAAAGAAGAAAAAAAGAATTTATTTGCATCTGTTCAGAAAACTCCATTTATTTATTAATTTACTAGACAGAAATTACTGTATCTCTTACTCTGAAAGAATAACTTGAGACAGCGAAACAAAGCATTGTGATGATATACTAACCTGGATTGGAGAAATAAAATGGTAGAATTTGGAACTGATGTCACTATACTGAAATCCAAGTGCCTACTTTGTTTCTTCTCTAGAATAATTCATAGCTTCACCTAAAAGTTTTTTGGAAAACATAGGAAAAGATTCTTGAAGTGATGTAGACAGGCATTACAGTTATAAAGTGGAAGTCTTTGTCATTCTCACTCTGACTGAGAAAGCGGGTCTTCCTCAATTTGCTGGTGACTGTTCTTCAGGCTCCCTGGGGGGACCAGCCTTAAAAAGATATCAGGTGATGCTTCTGATTGAGTGAATGTAATTGTGACTGAGTAAGCACGCTTATTTTGTTCTTGTTAAAGAAAACACCTGATGTGTGGATAATATTCAGTTTCCAAAATGTTTACTGTCATTTGCAAAATGTTTTGTTGAACTGAACCAACAAATTTATTAGAAGATGGAGAAAAGTAAGCAAAACAGGAAACAACCACATAATGCTGACCCAAATGAAGTTTTTCAGTAACTAAACTGTATTTGGCTGCTGGGTAAATCCTTAGAAAATAAGATGACTTTCAAAAAGGCTTAGCCTTAATTCTGGCCAGGAATTCCCCCCCCCACCCCTTGGGTATCTCTATCCATATTTCCTTAGAAGAGACTGAGAAAACCACTATAAAATTCTGAAACATCGATAAATGTAATAGCCTGACATATGGTACATCTGTCAGAGCATGTTATTTTTCCAGTTAAGGAAAATTTTCCAGGAATGAATGGTCCAAGAGGAACAGATTCCATTTGGGAGACTCTTAATTTTAAGAAATAGTCTCCCTTTAAAAATAAATGTCCTACAGAATGGGTTGTGTTTAAACCCATTCTATCCTTTATGTCCATATCTTTTGTTTAATTTTCAAAGGAGACATGAATTGATAGCAATCACCTTCACTAGCTAGACTCCCCTCGATCTTTCACACCATGCTTGATCTTCCTTCAAAACATCTTACATGTCGAGTGAATGGCTGTCCGAGAAAGGAGACAATGCTGAAAGTATGCTGCTGAGAGAGGTGTGCCATCCAGAGCACACTGGGGTCATTCTTACGGACAGGATGTGGTTTTGGAATCTGCTTGGACTTTCAAATATCAGTCAGTTCTCTCAGAGTCTGGTTACTTATATGTCAAACAATCCCTGGTGTAGCTCAACTGATGCATAGCATTGAAGAATAGTCATCTGCAATGTTAAAATATTTGTGATTTTGAATAGATGAGGGTTTTATGAATAGCTATTCTTATTGCAAGTATTATTCTGTAATATCATGTTTTTTAGCAAGGATTTTTCTTCATTCAGAGGAAAACATCAAAACTAATATCTTGGGTGTGCTCTTGGACAGCTGGAGTCCAAAACTGAATTGTTGGAAAAGAGACTTCAAACAATTATGGGATCATTTCAAAAAAATGAATATTCTATTGGATCTTCTCTTAAAGCATATTTTTAAGAAAAAGATAGAGCTTTCATGTCTCCAAAGTTATTTTATTAAAAGCAGAACAAAATGGGAAAAATTGATAAAAGCTTCATGTGAATATTCTTTTCTTTGGCATGAAAGGAAATAATATCCACATCAGAGAAGAGTAAAAGAATGCTTGTCATGTCTTCTTGACATCATTGGTGGCCCAGATGTGACTGACGTGGCCTTGGGTATCACATTCTCTTATAATAGTTGTCTCATCTACATCACTACAAATAATCTCATATATTTCATTCCAAATAAACAAAATAAACTAATACTTAACTAATACTTTGTTATTGAAGAACTTGATGATTTGAGATAAATGAGGACAAACACTATTCAATTAATCCTTGTAGTCTGACATGTTAGTATTTTCTTATAACTCAGTATCTTGTGATATTTGAGTTTTTCAGTCAGTTCAATATATCATTGCTGGTTTGTTATTGGTTTGTTATGTTAATTGATAAAATATTATACTGAAAAAAAATGAGAGGGCTAATAGCAAAGAAATCTCATGTTTTTGACAGAGACAGTGAGTTCCTCTTTCTAATTTCTCTCCCAAACTCTTTAGGAAGTCATGAAATCTTTGCCTATCTTCTGACTTTCCACCCAACATGAAAACAAAATAAAGATTTATTTTTAAGAGAAAAAAAAAGAAACCTTAAATAGAGAGATTTTGGAATAAGTAGGAGATGTGGTAAAAAGGTTTCATTTCAGGGCTAGCCACCAAAGCTCCATGGGGACTTTTATATAGAAGGCTCAATTTTTTATCCCATTTGCTCCTATCATGTGGACAAGCGACTTCCTGTCAATTCTTAATGTTGTTCTCTTAAATACATATACATATTCATGGAACACTGAATGTCTGAGATCAAACACTGAAATGAACAAAAGCAATGTCAAAAATATCAGAAAACACAAAAGTAATAAGAATCAGAAACCATGCAAGATATGGAAGGAAACATCCAAAATAATTGTGAATAATATACTTAGGGAAATAAGATGTTACATCCATGAAAATAAACCATGATTTAAAAATAAGAGGCATGAAAAATCAAGGATCTGTTTGAGTCTGAAAATGTATATATATATAACATGAAAAAATATGTATATGAAATAGCAAATGCCCCAGGTAATAGGAAATTACTGTGAATGCTAAAAATAAAGCCACTGCTTCTATGTTACATGCCTTCATTCATACTTTAATACATTTAGATTTCAAAATACACTAGTTAGCTATGTCCTATTACCTCTGCTTTACAATAAGGAAAATGATACATAGGAAAGCTAAACAACTTCCCCTAGTTCTCATGGATAGTAAGAGGCAAAATCAGAATTATTTTGGCTCTTAGCAAGATTCAACTAGCACTAGCAAGTTCTAGAAGTGTAACTGGTGGCTGAAGCCAAAGACTCAGAGGTGGTACCCCCAGGTAAAAATACTAACTGATGAGGATGGATAGGCCCAGGAAATATGCGAGCAAAGTATTGGTGGGGGGTTGGGGGTGTGGACTGGACACTCTGATAAAAAATATGAGGGGCTGCCCCTGGGATTCAGCTTTCAGAATTTCAGCATTTTTGTATCTTCAGGGATTCCAGGGTCAGTGATATCTGTACCACCACGCTGATCTTCCAGAAGGCTGGTTTGGGCCTCCAAAGGACGCAGAGAGGCTTCCAGCAGCCAAACTCAGAGAGGAAAAGTCTGGAGGTTTTGCAAGAAGGTGAGCAACTGAAATTGTTCCTGGTTTTGCTGCTGTTACAGCAGGGAAGGTGAAGACTCAGAGTGGACGCCTTGCTGAGCTATGAGTGGGGCTGTTTGTCAGGTTGTTCAGCTGTTGCAGCTGCTGTTTTGGGTGTTGCTTGTCTGGCTGCCATGTGCTCCAGGTCCCCTGGCAGGATGACGCCATCTTGGGGCGTGGCCTTTGCTGGGGGTGGGGCTCTGCATCCTCAGGGGCTGGAGGCACCATCCTTGGAGCATTGGTGTTTAGGACTTGAAATCCCTGGACATTTCTTCAGGTGAGGTAAATGGACATTTGTGGCCCCAATAATTCTTTGTTTTCTCTGGGTTGTCAAATAAATGCCATTATAGTTCTCTGTCCCCAAGTGATCTTGCAGTTGTGCGCACGGGTAAAGAACTCAGACAGTGACCAATAAACTATTTGGGCATGTGCTGGGCTGGTTTTAGTGCCCCTGGCTGCCCTGGATCAGAAGGAGATAGAAAAGAGAGGAAAAGAGCAAAATGTTCACAGGCTGACTCCCCAGTTTTCTTGTTTGGTCCTTAGAACCTAGAGACATTTGAAAACTGAAATTGGGTAATAGCCTCTCCCCCAACTTTGGGGATTCATTTTTTGGGAAAAAACTGACCTGATTTATATGATGTTACTGTTCAAAATATAGATTTAATAATGTTTCCTCATGGATCTTTTACTTGGCATGAAAGTGCCAATTAAGGCAACCTGTGCTGAAGTGATTTATCAGAAGCCTCAGATGTTAGTTATGCTGTCTGGATTTGAGTTTGCATAAGCAGAAAAGTAAATATCGGTTACTAGAGCTACAATTCTTGTTTTGGACTTAAAGCAAATATATATAAAATGGATTAATTAGGAAATGTGGTAAAAAGAAGAGTTTCATTTCAGGGCTAGCCGCCGAAGCTCTGTGGGAACTTTCATATACAAGACTGGAGAAGCCTCAATTCTTTATAATATTTATATGTGTGTGTGTGTGCACGTGTGTGTGTGTACACTATTGATAAATGTATGTTTTCTGTCTTACAACAGAGCAAATTGTTTTTTTTTTAATAGAGTTTTAGTCTTTTTTTTTTTTTTAAATAAGAAAAGTCTCATGGAAAAATGGCTAAGGTGTATTAGAGGCTTTAAAACTGCCTTAAATAGAAGTAATTTATTTTGCTGATAAATTTACAAAAGTTGCAGAGAAAACATGCAAAATTTAAAGTACATTTTTAGATACAATAAGAGATAATGAATACACTTGCAAAAATATGTTCCACAAAATCAAATGGATAAATGGGTTATGAAAGGGTAAGCGAAATCTGGAAGCTCGAAATTACCTACCGGGCATTCCTATACCAAAGTCTCTATGTGCTCAGTTAATGTTACATCATCAACAAAATTTGCTTCTGAAGGTATCCACAGGGCTATACAAGTGATTAGGTCTCCACTTCTTCAACACGTATACCTTTTTAAGTTTTACTTTTTAGTCAAGTGTGAAGTGGAATGTAGTAATAGTCCTGAAATTCAGAAAGCTTCCATGTCTCTCAGATTTGTCCCTCTATCATTGAGGAGAGATTTCCAGATTTCCAGTTGGTGTTAAAAACAAAGCATATATATAAATATAAATATATATATATAAGCATATATATATTTAATTCCTGCATGTTATTATTTTGTCTTTGTTCTGAAGTTTAAATTGTGGACATTTGATTTGGAAGCAAGTTTAACATCATAAAAATTATCCTTCATCACGCAGTTTTGGGCTTGTTTCAGAATTTAGCTGCGTGCCTTTAGACTCAATTTCATAGACTTCTGTTCCAATAAAACCACAATATACTCTTTGTAGTTAATTTTATTGAATATACATGTTTAAATATCATAGGAATTAAAACTAAACCTCAATTTCAGGAAGAATTTACTGTGTTTTAAAGTGGCTTATCTTTGATCCCCTCAGAGTCTTGCTGACTTAGATTTTAAAAAAGTGTTTTCAGTCTTTTCGCCTTTTGAAAATATTTCTATTTTAACAGGTTTTTGTATCATAACTAGAACTTTATGCACAAAGCAGAATTAAATAAAAGTGTACATGTAAAAACTGAATATAAATTTGGAGAGACTTATGATAACTGTAATTTATTACTTCTGATTTATTTGTATAGAGTCCTAACTGTCTAATTATGGGGAGTAAAGACCTTCTTGCTTCACAAGTCATCAGTGAAAATAAGTCTGTATCACATAGAAATATCTTTAGATGTTTCCTGATAGTAAAACATTGCAATAATTTTCAAGTTGGAGAATACATCTTTTTGATCTTTATTCCCCTACACATTTTAACTATGTTTTGTTTAGCAAAGCCAAGAAACAAATTTTATTGAATTTTGAAAGTGAAAATTGGTTCTATTACAAAAGCATGGGAGATTTTTTTTTTGCCTGTTGTTTCTAATTATGAGACCACCTTCAATTAATGTTCTTATAGCAATAAAAGAATGCTTAAGCAATAAAATCAAAGCAGATGGTATGAAAAAGCTATGAAAAATTAATCATGGCATCTAAAAATTGGTCTTCACACTTTTTTTATAAAATTAATAAGATCACAGATTTTAAAAAATCTCAAATTTTATTCTGGATTGTACATAATCTGTACCTTTTTAGAGTATTTAAATTTATCTTGATATTCATTTATGGTAGTAATTTGAACTCTTTTTGTGAGAAGTGTTAAAGTAATTAAAAAAAACTAAATAAAGTAAACATTTGTAATTTGTAGTAGTAGTCAATTTCGAAAATGTTCTCTTTCAATTCCTAGAGCTACCTGCTTACTGGAGTACTAGCTTATACCATGTGGAAAAAGCTCAAGACAACCTTGTAATTTATTCTTCAGGGAAATCTTTTTTTTTTTTAATTCATTATTTCTTATTCTATTTAATTGTGTTTAATATCAGAGATTAATATCTGTTTAACATCAAGGTAAATTTCTACTTAAGACCTGTTCAACAATTGTCATAATATTTGCTAATTTTTAAATAATTATTTTTATTATGGTAACATGGGTTTACAATATTGTATATGATTCTGGAATATAGGATCTCACCTTTTTTACTAGCCACACTCACAGCTATTTGCCAATTTAAATTAAACATTATGTTCTCTAAAGTCTTCACCTTCACTTTCTGGTATACAGCAATCATTTAAAGCATCTTGCTGTGATAATGATATTATGGTAATATTAATATTGTAGTATTAATAATTTTCAAATATTTGCCTCTAGCTACATGGATTATATGATTTCTGAGACTTGCTTCATAGTATCACAGTAAGGGCAGCAGTGAACAGGACAGAGATGAAAGTTTGGTGTGGCTTAAACAATTGTTTTTATTTTGTTCTTAAATATTTATTTTTATTTATTTATGCATACAAGGGGTGTAAGCCAGAGATGCAGGGAGTGAAAGGATTCACCAGAGACAGAATGGGGAGCAGAACAGGCAGATCTACTGAAACAGGCATATATTGCATATATATCTATGTTTATGTAAATTTATACATACACTATCTATGGATTTGCTTGAGTGGCACATACTGGGGTCCCCATAATCTTTGCCATTTCTGTCCATGGTAATAAAAAATTCAACTAAGCTGTTGGTGCTACGTGCTACCATTGTGAAAAGGTTCTGTTTCAAGTGTGAGTAAAATACTCCTGGTCACTCTACAATGTACAAGAACTTATACTTCTGCTTTGCCATGCTCCATAGTTAGAATGCAGATGTGATAAGTCTTTATTATGTTTAATAGGACAATGCCTTGTACTTAGTATGCAAGAAAGTAGAAGATGGAGTAAATTTACACCAGCCAGCAACCATGCCAGCTTTAGACTGTTGTAATTTAGAAGTCAAACATCTTTCAGTTTTAACCATTGCATTCTTGAGCTTTATCATCACAGCAGCTTTTCTGAAACCTACATATTATGAGTACATGAGGCTTAGAAGTAGGGAAATGTTATAGCATTAATTTTGCTGTTAACTTAATGGTAAATCAACAGAAAGAAAAGATACAGATATACTAAGTTGGAAAATGTGCAACCATTTTTAGATTAGAAATGGAAACTAGATAAGGGTAGTATATTCTCATTCAACCTAACAATGCACATATACTTGGGATTAGGAAGAATGGATGATAGAGAAGCAACAATAAACATTTAGAACTTGGACTTTAACTCTGATTTCCAGTTATGTGAGTCAGAAAAACCTTAGCCATAGAGACATGTCTTATAGATTGCTCACTTTGTAATGCAATTCATTGCTTGTAGAAGGTGAATATTTTGGGGTATCTTTTCTTTTATATATTGGGAGTACATTTTTGAGATTTCACTTATAAAGACAGGTGTTCTGTTCTTGACAAAATGACAATACTCAATTAAATTTAAGAGAAAGAAAATTCCCTTCCAATAGTCACAGTCCTGGTTTACTCAGGGTGAGCAATGATGAAACCATTCTTGGGATGCTGGCTAACAGGTCAAGGAAGGTTGGCCTCAAAACACATGCTACTCTTGTAGCAATACAGAGAACTGCGTAAGAGCAGAAGGAGGAGCTAAGAATTCTCCAGGTGCAACATCATAGTCCAGTGGAGGACACAGGCCATATTAGGCAGTATTACAGGAAGGAACAGAAGACAACCAGAGGAGAGCAAACCAACCATCTACAGGAAACTTTTTTTTTAAGATTTATTTATTTATTTATACAAGCACTGGGTACAGTCAGAAGCGCAGGAGGGTAAGAAAATTCACCAGAGCCAGAGTGAGGGACAGAACAGGCAGACGGGCCGAAGACACTGCTGAGGGGAGCAGCGGGCGTGGCAGGAGAGGTCTGCACGCCTTGTGGGACCCTCTGCAGCAGCTGGTGATTGAACCGACGCTGTAGAGGCTGCGGGCAGCTTCAAAGCCCAGCACTCAACCACTGCGCCATCAGGGGAGGCCTTACAGGAAACTTTTTGAAGCTGTGCAGAGATGACTCATAGCCACTGAAGTGTCTCACTAGTGAGAAGGAAAGGGACAATCACCGGGAGTGGGGATGCACATTCATTATAGTGTTCTGCCTGGCTCTCTTTCTTTCTTGTTCTATTAGGTAACTTCTAGAAATTGAGACCCTGTTCTTATTATAGATTGGGTTTAGGCACTGTCAATGATTTTTTGTTTTCATTTTTATTTAAATCTTGAGTTAAATAACTCCTTTAGCTATTACATATATTTGGAGTGCATCCAAATATAAACTATATATGTATAAATAGAAATGATATTTGGATATTTCACATATTACAATTGCTGCCAAAGTTATTCTGCTCACTGGATAAAAATTATGTCAGGATGCCTTCTAAATTGCTTTCTGAAGGAGGCTCATTGCCATCTGGGTAGGCTACTCATGACATCCACAATAAACATTCAATACACATTTATTGAATAATATCTGAAAATGAGGAACCAGACCATTGGAATAAAGGTTTAGATCTGAGGATATATTCCTGTATTATTATTCTTCATTTTTTGAACAAAATAAGGAAATTCACATGAAAGGCCAATTCATGTAAAAGACCAAATGTTACAAGAGACACTAATTTCATCTTGGAATGTAGAAAACTAGAAAGCAGGTCTTTCTTTCTCCTACAACAATCCCAAGAAAAAAGAAAATTCATGACATTTTGCAAACTGAGAATGAGCAGTCACAGAAAACAATCCCCATATTCACAGAGAGATAGTGTCCTCCTGGGACAAAGACTGAGTATTTGTGTGCCTGGGGCAGATGCTGCTGGACGCCATCCGAGGAGACTGGAGGCAGCCATGTTGTTGTGGCTGGCATGAAGCACGTCTTCCTCAATGAGGCCCACCAGGCATCTCCAGGAAAGACTGGGGAGGAATCTGACAAAGGTTCCCATCAAGATGGCGGCTGTCGGGAGAAACAGCAACCACTGTTAAGACCCCCTACCTATTCCAGTGTGTCCTAGGCCTCTAAGAACCAGCTTCATGCTTCAAAAGAAAGAACGAGAAAACTCAACACTGCTGGAAACTGATTGTAGATAGAAGGGAACGGGACACAAATCTATCTCTGGTGAAGGTGCAGGAGAACTTACAAAACCACAGACTTAGACCCAGGTACATACTGCTTGCCAATGATGATCAGGATGGCTGTGGATGTCTCCCACCCCAATCACACCAACCCCTGCACGTGCATGTGCACACACACCCCCACACCCACCACCACCATCATCACCACAATCACCACCACCACCAACGCACAGACAGGCACTAAGTGAGAAAAACAGTGGAGTGCAGCTGGGAGAGCTGAGCAACAGCACAAAGGATCATCAGCGCCAAGAGTCCATATTGTGAAGAATCCTCTGGCAATGAGGAAGACTTTGAATCCTTTTGCCATACAGAGTACAATAACATAGTCACAAATTCTGGGCATAAGGATATGGACATGATTATTCAATTTGCTATTGCATCTACTAAAACATAAGTGTAAATGTATGGCACTTCCTTAAAATTTTCGGATGACTCACTAATACCCAAAAATGGCTGTTAAATTTAACTGCAAAACTTCAATCATCTGTCATATTATTCATTTTCTAGTCACTGCATCCCTCCACATTTCAGTGTATTACCACCAAAATGAGTCATTTATTATGTCCACATGCATTTTACATAATATTTCATATATCTATATAGCTAGCCCTTTTCAAAAACTGCTCACACCTTAAAGATGAATACAGTCATTAAAAGATATTTATTGAACTCTTATTACATGCCAGCCATAGATGTAAGTGTTGGGGAGATGACAGGGAAAAATATAAAACTGTCTCTATGATAAACAATATAAATAAAAATAACATTTCAATTAGTTACAACTGTAATAAAAATAAAGTAGGATAAGGGATAGTTACTGGAGGCAGGGTAAAAAATTATTTGAATTAGGTCATCAGGTGACTGTTAAGGAATATCTTAAACATGGAGGTGTCAGCTATACAAACAATGGAAAGAAAATTAGCTCAGGGAAAGAGGGAAGAAAATATTACGGATTTGAAACTGTGTTCAAGTACTTTGGAACAGCCAGCATCAAGTCACGGAAAGCCTCATAGACCAGGAACAATTGTTTGGATTTTTTTGTCTAAGTCTGACCAGGAGCTATTAATATTTAAATAGCAGAAAGACCTAACTTCATTTAGGTTTGGAAAAGATAATGCTGTTGTTTGGGCGAGACTATAATAAATGGGAGTAAGATGGAAGAAAGCTATTGTACCAAGTGAGATAGGCTGTGACTGGAAACAAGGGGAAACAGCCATTCCACAGGTTACCAGTAACGTTATTCTAGCTCTAGGGATAAGTGCAAACAGTACCAGAGTAATTAATACCATCTCCCTAAATTATTCCATGAATCCCTCAAGCCGAATCTGTTCTTTCATTCAAGTTTCAATTACTCTTGATATAAGTGTCCTGTTCTATATAATTTATCAAAATGACACTTTGTCTCCCAAATGAAACTTTAGGCTGCTGATGCATAAGATTGTTGATTTTAAGCTTCAGTGTATATTTTACTTTTTGTCCCCAAACCAGGCAAAAGTAGAGGCATATTAGAATGTTGTTTTTATTATTTTAAATAGGAATTTATTTCTCAAATTAACTGTAATCATTATTGACAGGACAGAGTCAAATGTTGTGTAGTGTAACTAAAATTTTAACACAATTCCATCCTTGCTAGTCCAAAATAATTATTTTAATTGGCTAGGTAAAGACTGATATTTTATACCAAATATCCTTATATTTTATAATAGGAAGTTACAGATTGCTAGAATTTTTGTGTTATCTAACATTTTATATAACTGTAACAGTTTAAGTTTCAGAAAAGTGAGATGTGTCTTGATAAACATCAAATAGCTTCTGGGCCTCCCCTGGTGGTGCAGCGTTTGAGCGCTGGGCTGTGAAGCTGCCCGCAGCCTCTGCAGCGCAGGTTCCATCCCCAGCCGCCGGCAAGGGTCCCACATGGCTCGCAGACCTCTCCTGCCATGCCCGCTGCTCCCTTCAGCAGTGTACTTCATCAGTCTGCCTGTTCTGCTCCCCGCTCTGGCTCTGGTGAATTCTCTCAACCTTCCGCACTTCTGACTGTACCCAGTGCTTGTATAAATAAATAAATAAATCTTAAAAAAAATCAAATAGCTTCTGATAATTTGGACCTTTGCCTAGAGTGAATGGTGGATGAAGTATTTGAACTCAGATGATTCAAATCTTTAAATATAATGCATAAAAATTCTTGATTCTACTATTTTCTACTGAATAATATTTTAGCATGTGATGATCTATGAATTAATGTTTTTACATATATGTGAGTTGAATGAAGTGACTGATTCAAAGAAACAGTGAATCTTTATAAAAACTGTATTTGTCAAATTCTCACATTAAATGAATGGAATAAAGAATGAATCAGTAACTGTGAAAACATTGGAGGTTGGTCCGAAATTACATGTCTTGTCAAAGTGAGAGAATTGACAATATTTTCAATTACTTTTCACAGCAAGAGTCCATGGGCAAATCTATATCACTGGGTTCATGTGCTAAGCTAGGTGTTCTTGCTGCAATATGATATATTGCTTCAGAAAACATTAGGATCTGTCTGTAACAATGGTTTATGGAGATATGTGCATATTTCTTGAAACTATTTACTAGTTTTATATTATAACATCCACCAATGATATATTAGCTCATTCAGAAATTATTACCACCATCATATTTCCAGAATTACAGCAACAGTATCATCAATGAGACAAAATTATTCCTATGTATTCCTTAACAATGAATGCAAGTGTTCTTAAATTTTTATAGACCAATAAGCCAATTATCTAGTCGGAGATAAATTCTGTATTCTTGTAATTTTGATAACTTTTTTGATAATAAGAGCGAACTATTCTTATTTACACTGATATTTAAGAATTTCAGAGGCAAGAATCTATTTTAGTGTTCTGAAGTCTCCTTATTCTTGGCTTTAAATCACTAATTTGATTATCTAAATCTGTCATTTCTACACTTTAATGAATCAGTCATGCTGAGAAATAGATACCTGTTTTCTAGCTGCTGAATCTTTCATATTACTCAGATGCCTGGGACTGGCAGATGTTTCTCTTCCAACTCAAGCAACTGAAACTCTGGAATCACCAGGGATTTCCATTACTTTACCAGCCACCAAGTATGGGGTCCTTCGTGCATTCAAGTGGAAAATGACTCAAACTCATGATTCATTCTTTGAATCTGTGTTCCAGGTCAACTCATAGTTCCAAGGGATTTTCCTAGAAACAGAACAAATGATGGAAATTTCTGTTTGAATGATTTATTTGGGCATACTCTCAGAAGAATTGGACCTTGGGAAATTGCTCCACATATTTAGTCCTGCCTGAGGTAAGGGACTTGTATCTTGGACACAAGGTCAGCACCAGTTGGGACAGAGGTGGGATGGGAAGGAACCCCTGAGTGATGTGACTCCCTTTGTCTGGAAAAGGAAGGAACTGTGAATTATTAACAGCATTATTAAAAGGCTAAGGTATGGGCGCCCCTACTGATAAGTTAAAGGGAACTCTGTGGAGCGTCACTGATACCACTTTAGGAAGTACAGGGCCCTGAAAATTCGGAGTGGTTCATGAAGCTAATGCTTTCAGGACATCAATTTCACTCAATAAATGTTTATTGAGCGTTTACAATATGATCGATTTTGTGATAGGTCCTATCTTGTGTATGAGGTAGATTTTTACAATCTTAAAGCATTTGAAAGCTAGAAAGGAGGTCTAGAGATATACTCTAGTTATTAAAATGGAGGGCAGAATGTGGCAATTGCCTCAAGTCTAAAGGAAGATTAGATCAAAGAAGCACTCCTTTTAGAGAAATACTCTGGTGAGTTCAAAGCACAAGAGCCAGAGATATTGTTACTATGACATCTAAAACTCGTGCTGCCCATCATTGTGATATTAGCAGTTTTTTGAAGCCTTCCTCCATTGTAATTCTACAGTTATTTATTAAACACCAAGCTATGTGGATCTGAAATATACGTGAAAGTCAACTTTGAGGTCTTACGGTAGATGTCAATACTTTTTTAAAGGGTTTTTTTTTCTGGATTTAGTGAAAATGAAGTGGTTAAATAGCAAAATTTTCCTAATTAAATTAAAGGGTTTTTTTTTCTTTTGAAACAAAAGATCACTGATTTCTAGAGAGGAATTGGAGGGCTTTTTTTTTTTTTTTTTTTTTTAAGATTTATTGATGCATATAAGAACTGGGATAGAGGCCAGAGGTGTGGGGGGGTGAGAGGATTCACCAGAGACAGAGTGGGGAACAGAACAGGCAGATAAACTGAAATACACTGCTGGGAGAGCAGCAGGCGAGTCAGGAGAGGTCTGCTGCACCATGTGGGTAGCTCCCTGCCTGGGAATTGAACTCGTGTTGCAGTGGCTGCTGATAGTTTCATAGGTTGCGTCTTAACCCCTTGCGCCACCAGGGAGGCTGTGAAATGGAGGCTTACTTGGGTTTTAAGTTAGGAAGAATGAAGGTATGAGCCCAAACTCTGAATTCTTTGTATGCACATCCTACTTTAATCTGCACTGATTGTAGCAACTATTTGTTCAACAGAACTGAAATGTTACCAATATCCCAGTACCCCCAAACTCTAGTGAGCTGTAGGCCTACATGGGTTTTGGGAGAATGGTGTATCTCAGAGAGGCGTCTGGTCTGGAAATTAACTGTAGTGTAGAATGTGATAGCCCTCACAGCAGGGTAAGACAACTCAAAGGTGATTAAAATAATTTTGTTTCATTGTATGATTTTTTATTTTCTTATAAATTATCATTACAACTTTTGAGGCTCTTCACTCCTGAGAACACTCAAAGAGCACAGATATGAGGGCATGGCTCTTTAAATATATTACATTCAAACTTTTCCAAGCTCATAGAGATATTAGATGTTAATTGATACATTAGTGGAGACAATACATTTTCCACCTCAAAAGCTTTTAATAAGACCTTTGAAATTAAAATATCCTTGATTTCTCAGGACAGTTTCAGTGCTGGTATTTTTAATTACTGTGCAAGTAATAGGTTATTTTCTATTCCATGTATCTTGTCAATCTGTGTTGACAGATGTCAATTCAAAAGTCTATCAGTTTAGATTGAAGTCAGTCTCCATTTCACGTTTGCATTTGAATTTAGGTCTGTCACAAGTGATAAAGAGTGATGAATGTGACATTGCCATGTTGAAAGATCATTAAATGTCACTCTGTGTCCTGGCAGCCAAGTGGCTGGCAGGAAGTCAATGATGTGCACCCGGTGTGGAGTGTGGAGAAGGCCATGCATTGGGGCAGCACAGACATGCAAACAATCAATCAATCATTTCATTCAAAGGACGAGTGAAATGAGACTTGCTGGAAATTCTGTCTGAGTACCTCCAGTGCCGGACATCTAGCTTGTAAGCATTTTGATTTACACTTATAACCAGCAGGTTGCCAGCAGCTAAAATAATAGTCTGGAAAAACTACATATTTGGTCAATTTCTTTGACTGTCTCCTTGACTCTTGACATTCTTTATGCAGCTGAAGGCTTAACCAATCTTTAACAACTTCCTAGTGCTGGAGCACAGATGACTTAAAGTGACTCTAGTGCACAACCTATTAGAGCCACGATTTATATCACCTGATAAGGATATCGCTCAATCTGAAGGGCGAGGCTGCCGCAGTTCTACAGTGGCTTTCTACAATTTGCGTATAATTTATTTAGCTTTCCAATTCACTTGCTGCTCTTCCATGTCTGTGAGTGGATTCCCTAAAGTTCCTAAATATAACTTGTACTTAAAACAGTGTGAGTATGGTTGCATAATATTAATAGTTATTTTCAAAAAGCTTTTAAAGTCATAACACAAAGCAGGGAGCACTTTTTATGTGTTTATCTGGTAATTTACACCATTTATGTTTTCAATGTAAGCTAGAAAATGAAAGAGATTGCTATTGACGACTACCAGGTATCCTTTAGATTGATAAATCTCTTTAATTTAGTTCACTTCCGTTTGATGAAAGTGGAGAGTATAAAATACGCAAAGTGAAAAGGGAAGCAACAGACATGACAACAGAATGTGGCATTAGTGAGCTCTTACCACATTCGTATTTTTGACTCAGGGTATTTTAGAATGAATTATGGATTTGTCAGAATAAAAGTGAGCTGAAAACAAAATTATCTGTTTTAAGTCATAACCATATTTTAAAATCATTACTGGACTGCACAGGTAGAGGATATTCTAAATCAACTGTTGATCGTTATTTTCTGAAGTAGTTTTAGAAAGCTATTTTTTATTAAAATTTGTATGGATGAGGTTGAGAGAACTTGGCAAGATTCATTCAACAAACTCCAGTTTAACCTAGCATCCAGTTTCTTTGACAGATTATCACTAAAAAAAGCAGTAATTGGATTGATATCTTAACTAGATACTAGAAATAACTAGTCATTAGTAATTAAAACTATCTGATCAATTCCAATACTCTGGGGCGCAATGAGTGCCATTTTGACTAATACATAAATTCCCATCTAGATCTTCCTCAGGGAGAATGTAGAATGTCTAAGTAGCATGTTATTGTACAGGGGTCTTAGCATGTATGGTTTTCTTTGAAAAAAAAAATGACATTAAGTTTTTAATGAATAGTTTAGCCTGTTATGCTTACATGACAATTCTCCATCATACCTTCTTATTGCCATTAGACACCCACCTGCATCTGATTCCATCTTTCCTTTCCCAAGTGTTGTTGTCAGGTCTCTGCTCCTGCCCAGTAAAGAACCTCCCTTGTGCCCTGATTTCCCGCCCCATATATCACTACAAAGATACTTTTGGCAATTTCTTTTATCTCACAGCTTTCCTTTTCCCTTCCTTCTTTGATCATTCCCTTATTTGATTATTTCCCAACTAAAATATTTGATATTTCCATTTATTCTTCTTCTAGCAACACTGTCTTTTTCTTCTTCCTCTTAAAGGTAAAATTTTATGAGTTTTCTTCAGAATTCTTCATTTATTTATCACCCTTTCACTTCTGTTTTTTTTTTTTTTTAAATTTTTTTTTTTTTTATAGAGGCATGCTTTATTTATTTGTTTGCTAGTTTGTTTGTTTTGTTTATACATGCACTGGGTACAGTCAGAAGCGCGGGAGGGTGAGAGAATTCACCAGAGCCAGAGCAGGGAGCAGAGCAGGCAGAAGGACCGAAGTACACTGCTGAGGGGAGCAGCGGGCGGCAGGAGAGGTCTGCACGCCATGTGGGACCCTCCTCCGGTGGCCGGGGAGCAGCCGGGGATCGAACCGGCGCCGCAGAGGCCGCGGGCAGCTTCGCAACCCAGCGCTCAACCGCTGCGCCACCGGGGAGGCCCTCACTTCTGTTTTTTTTAAATGTGAAGCATAGTATGTATCCGAAGGGTCTAAGGAAGATGATCTGTTAAAACAAAAATGAGTGGCCCCAATAATTTAGTATAGAGAATTAAGGGGCACCTATATGTATCTTCCCTTTGAATTTCTTATCTTGCTTCTAGGGTAACCGCAAACCTAAATTTTCAATCTCTATGTAATTAAATAAGATATTTCATATTCTTATCTCATAAATTTTATTTGAATTGAGTCATAAGACATGTAATTTATAGTTTGAGTCTATCACTCAACTGATATTAGTGATGAAATTCAGCTGCGATAATGTCTTTAGCTGTAGTTTATTTACTTTCACTGGTATGTAAGTACATCTCTGTATCAATGTCTCACCATTTATATATCCATTAGCCTGGTGATGAAAGGGACACTAAAAATCTTCCAGTTCTTTGATTCCCTACCCACAGCAGCTAAAATCTATATTCCCTCCCTGTTACAAAGGGCAGGTTTGTGCCTTCTTTGGTAAATAGGCTATGAAAGAGAAGTTTACTTTGAAGACTAGGTAATAGGTGACCATGAAGTTCTACCTTGTTCACTGGAGCAATTGTTCTTATTGCTCTATGATTTTATTCTAGAAATCCAACTATGCTGAGGTGAGCATGGCAGAAACTGAACATATAGACACTCTGGTTAAGTCTAAAGTGATACCACCTTTCAGACAATCCTTGAAATCAAATAGGTAAGGAAAGCCATCTAGCACCTTCCAGACCAGGCCATTCATTAGTTGAGCATCACCATGTTGCTCTTGCCTAGAACAAGATGATGTAGCCAAGTCCTGCTGAAATTTCTGATCCCCACATCATGAGATCAATAACAATGACTGTTGTTTTAAGTCAAAACTAAATGGAAAATAAATTTG